TCATCCAGGAAGAGTGCAAACGGTCATTGCAAAGACAGAAGAGGAAGAAAAGACCAGAAATACAAGCAAAGTTTAAAAGAGACCGTGGCATTAGAGAATTATCACCAATGGCAGATGGATCTTGGCTGAAAGCAGAGTGTACCAGAGGAATGTCTATCTTGATTATGCTTCCTTAACTATGCAAAGGCATTTGACTGTATATATCACAATAAATTGTGGCTAACCTATAGAAGAATGGAAACCCCAGAACACTTGATAGTACTCATGCAAAACCTACACGTATACCAGGAAGCAGTCCTTAGAAGAGAGTAAGGAAACACTGCATTGTTCAAAATCAGGAAAGAAGTGCATCAGGAATGTGTCCTGTCTCCATACCTTTTCAATCTATATGCAGAACAGATTATTTGAGAGGCTGGACTTTGTGAGAAGGGCTGTGGGATCAGGATGGACGAAGACTCATCAACAACCTGCATTACGCATATCATACAACCTTACTGGCCCAAATTGAGGACAACCTGAAGCATTTACTGCAGAAGGTCAAGGACTATAGTCTTCAATATGGACTGAAGTTAAACATAAAAAAGACAAACATTCTCACGGCAACAAGCATCATGATATAAAGAGAAGAGTTGAAGTTGTTAACAATTACAGTTTGCTTGGCTCCACCACAGTCAACACAGTGGTACGAGCAGTCAGGAAATCAAAAGATTAATTACATTGGGGAAGTCTGCTGTCAGGAACTGCTCCAGATTGTTGAGAGGCAATGATGTGAATTTAAAGACTAAGTTTCACCTGATCCAGAACATGGTCTTCACAATTGCATGCTATACATCAGAGAGCTGGACAATGACTAAAGATAACAGAAGAATTGATGGCTTTGAGTTGTGGTGCTGGAGAAGAGTAATGAACATACCATGGACAGCCAGGAGAACAAATAGGTTCTTGGAGAGAGAGAAACCAAGTTTCTCCTTGGGGGCTAGGAATTTGAAGCTCCATCTCATGTACTTTGGGCTTGTGGCCAGGAGGGACCAGTCTCTGGAGAAGGATGTCATGCTCAGAAGGGTGGAGGGACAGCGCAGGAGAGGAAGACCCCAGATAAAATGGGTTGACATGATAACTGGGGCAATGGAGGTAGGTGTGTTGGAGTCATTTACACTGGCTCAGGACAGGGCAGAGTTCAGAGCTGTTGTATGTAGGATCACTGAGTCACAGGTAACTCAATGGCACATAACAACAACAAGGCACCAGTGATATTAATGCTAACCAAAACATTGGTGATTCAAACCCAGCAACTCCTTTGCCAGAGGAAGATGAGACAGTCTGCTTCTATAATAATAATAAAAACCCAGTTCTCCTCTGTCCTATAAGATTCACCGTGCATCGGATTTGATGGAACAGCAGTGTGTTGGTTGGTTATGTCAAATCTTAAGTTGTATTTCAGTTTCAGAGATTAAGGGTAACTTGTGACATGAGTCTTCTCTTTGTAATTAATTTCATAAACATTTTACAGACCTCTTTATTGCCTTTCCATGGCTTTCACATGCTTGTCTCTGATGGCATAGCCCCTGGAGAGTTGGACCAGTGCAATGCCTGTCTGGTGTTTCAAATCCACTAGAAGGTCCCTTGAGAAAGATAGGTAGTTTTCTTCCAATTAATTTACAGCCTCTAAAAGTGACTAGATAGGTGTGAGCCAATTCTGAGTTAATGGCAATTAAGGTGTTTTGGTTTTTTATTTATTTATTTTTTTATTTTGTTTTGACCCTCAGTTGTATAGTCTGCAATATGTTAGGTTGCTAACGAAAACATTGGCAATTCCAAATCCACAAGCTGCTCTGATAGAGAGCAATGGGCAGTCTCCTTCATAAAGATCTTGACTCTCGGACACACAATGGAGGGCCACTCCGAGCCAGGACAGACTGGACAGCAGTGGCCCAGGTGGGGTCTGGCTTTGTGCCATTTGCCTGTTGACTTGTCAAGTACAAGAGCGACTGCTGCTTTGACTCTGGAAGACCTGGCTCACAGGGAGAGCACCCTTTCCTAGCTATTTGTGAATGTGCTCACAGATGGATTCTGATCTGTTTGTGGTGGAATTAAGGTGTCCTTAAGAACCTTATGTTCCACAAGGAATATGGAAACAGCCCAAATGTCTAACCACAATCGAATGGATTGAGAAATTATGGTACATTCACACTATGAAATAATGCAGAGCACTCACAAACAACAATTTTGAAAATTACTACATAACTTGAAATGACTGAAAGCATTATGCTGAGTGAACTAACTCAGTCACATAAGGATAAATATTGCATAAGACTATTATTGTAAAAGCAGAAGGATAACTAGTAAAACATGTATGGGGATCCACAGGAGGAAGGAGTGGGAACAGAGGGGAGAGAGTGGGCAGGGGTGAAATTAAATGGTTGTACAATTTAGTGGTGGAGGTGGGTGGTAAAGGAAATAGGAAAGATCCAGCGGGGATCTGGAAAGACAGGATAATGATGGGCATAGTTTAATGATGAACAATTTTATAACACATAATGAATGAGTGTATGAAACACAATATGAAAGAATGATGGATAGATAGTGTGAAGCAAACACAATATATACATGCTTACATGCAAACCAATGTAAAATTAAAAATAAATGAACTTTAAAAAAAAAGGTGTCTTTGTGGTACAAACAACAAATACCTTGATTGCTAGCCTAAAGGCTGCAGGTTCTGTTGCATCCAGGAAGATCTCATAGCCAGTTTCGGAGTGGGGACAGGGAGAAAGAAAGAGAAAGAAAGGTCATGGCCTTAAAAACCCTTTGGGAAGGTTCCACTAAGTAAGGCAAGGTGGTGCCTTGAGTCAGAACAGACTGGAAGTTCCCCAGCAGCAATGGCAGCCTCTTGGTACCACTGGCTTTCATGCTATATGAATGGTCTCTCTTGCAAGTCAGCTGAGAATGATTCCTTTTTTTTTTGTTTGGGTTCATTTTAGCAGATCTAAAGAAAACCACCAGTTCCAGTGCTGCAAAATCCAGTCTCCCCAAATCTGGACTTCGCCCTCCTGGTTACTCACGTCTCCCGGCGGCCAAGCTAGCGGCCTTCGGCTTTGTACGGAGTTCCAGCGTGGCCTCAGTGTCCAGCACCCAGTCCGTGGACAGCACCCAGAGTGAGCCTGTCAGGACCAGCCGTGAGTGCATCGGGCGCAGATCTGAACTGGGATGTGGGTGGGCTTCCTACACACAAGGTTTAGGTGTGCTTCTCGTTTGAAAGGCTTCGTTTCAGAAAGTGATATTTGCTGTCTTCAGAATTCTTTTAAAAACAGTATTCCTGATTTTCAGTGCTGGCCATTCTGCAAAGGATCACAGTCAAAGGTCCTGGACAGAGTGGTCCAAAAATGTGCAACAAAATTCGAAATTATAGGCATGACCAGGCTCATTGGACTAACAGAGATTGATGGAAACCCAAGCCTATGACCCTTCAGGCCTGGAACATAACTCTTCTGGTTACGCAGGCTTACTTTGATTGCAGAGTCGGTGTTCATTCATCGGTTATCCTTGTCACTGTTAGGTGCCACTGAGTTGGTTCTGGCTCTTAGAGAGCCACCGTGTAACAGGAGTGAATGCTGCTGCATCCTGCTGCCTCCTCACAGTCGGGACTGGCTCTGAGCCCATTGTCACAGCCACTGTGTCACTATCTCATTGAGGTCCTTCCTCCTTTTTTCTGACCCTCTCTCAAGTAAGGATTGTTCTAACTAGTAGAATTTAAAGATAAATTCTCTCCCAGTTGAAGAGACGGAGAACATTTTACTGAGTGAACTAACTCAGTCTCAGAAGGACAAATACTGCATAAGACCATTATTGTAAAAACAGAAGGATAACTAGTAAAATATGTATGGAGACCCAAGCAGGGAAGGGGTGGGAGCAGAGAGGTGAGGATAGGTAGGGGCGAAACCACAGGATTGCACAGTTTGGTGGTTGGAGGGAGAGAGCAAAGGACATGAGAAGGATCTGGTGGAGACCTGAAACGATAGGGTAATGATGGACAAGGTTCAATGGAGATTAATTTTATAAAACATAAGGAAGGGAATGATTATGTGAAACACAGTATGAATGAAGAATAATGTGAAACATAATGTATATGAACTTTATAAGCAAACCAATATAAAGTAAAAAAAGAATTAAAGTGTTACGTGTTGTTGAGTTGCTTGCAACTCATAGCAACCCTATGTACAAGAGCCCTAAACCCTGCTCTATCCTGTACCAACCTCACTGTTTCCAACACACCACTCCCATTACCCCAGTCACTGAATCCATCCATCTCATCGAGGGTCTTCCTCTCCTGCACCGTTCCTCCACCCTCCCAAGCATGATGTCCCTTTCCAAGGACTGGTTTTCCTTGCAACATGCCCAGTGTATGTCAGATGAAGCTTCAGAATCTTTGACTCCAAGGAACAGCCTGCTTTCACCCTTTCCAGGACAGACCTGTTTGTTCTCCTAGCAGTCCATGGTATATTCAACACTCTTCTCCAGCACCACAGCTCAAAGGTGTCAATTATCTGTCTATCATCCCTAGTCACTGTCCAACTCTCCGATGCATAGCAAATAATTGTGAAGACTATAACCCAGATCAGGTGCTCCTTAGTCTCCAGCCTGATGTCATTGCTCTTCAGTACTCTTGAGAGGTCCCTGACAACTGACTTTCCCAGTGCAATTCATCTCTTGATTTCCTGGCTGCTGGTACCAAGAGTACTGACTGTGAAGCAAAGCAAACTAAAACTGTTAACTATTTCAATCTCTTCATCAATCATGATGCTGCCAAATGGCTCAGTGGTGAGAATCTTTGTTTTCTTGATGTTGAGCTTCAATCCATATTGAAGGCTGCAGTCCTTGACTTTCTGCAGCAAGCACTTCAGGTCCTCCTCAGTTTCAGCAAGAAGGGTTATGTCATCTACATAACGTAGATTGTTGATTAATTTTCCCTCCAGTCTTGATGCCACATTCCTCCTTGTACAGCCTAGCATCCCGGATGATCTGTTCTGCATAGAGATTTAAAAGATATGGAGACAGAATACATCCCTGGCAAACTCCCTTCCCAATTTTGAACCATGCAGTGTCTTCTTGTCCTGTTCTGACGACTGCCTCTTGGTTCAAGTGTAGGTTTCACATAAGCACAGTCAAATGTTCTGGGATTCCCAGAGTCAGCCACAGTTTGTTGTAATCCACAGTCAAAAGCCTTTGCATAGTCAATGAAACACAGACATTCCTCTGGTACTCTCTGCTTTCTGCCAACATCCATCTAGCATTAGCTATAATATCCCTAGTTCCACGACCTCTTCTAAATCCAGCCTGCACATCTGGCAGTTCTCTGTTGACATGTTGCTCCAGTTGTTTTGGATTAATTTTTAGCAGAATCTTACAAAACCAAAAATTAAACTAGAATCAGAATAAAAACCAAAAACACCTACATTCTCTCCCTATATTTTTCACTCTAGTAAGAGTATGGAAAAGGAAATAATTTCAAGTATAATTTAGATGGCTTTCAGAGTATTTTATTTTGCAAACATATGTTTACTTTGTGGGATGCTCTGTCAAGTTCATCAGTTGCAGTTTTTTTCTTTCCTGGGAAATTTAAAATTTTACCTTTTTGACAATGCTTTGCCTATAGAGAATTTACATGTCTCAAAGAGTAGAAAAAATGTTACCTGTTTCTGTTGAGTTGATTCCAACTTCTAGGGATCTGTAGGGCAGAGTCTGAGGCTGTTATCTTTATGGAATCCTGTCTTCCCTGGGAGTGACTGGTATGTTCAAATTGTCAATGTTTGGTTAACAGCCAAGCACTTAATCACTGTATCATCAGGGCTCATAGAGAAGACAGTAAACTCAAAATCTCCATGCCCATCAAGTTAATTCTGACTTGTGGTGAACTTTCATTGACTTTTTATTTTTTATTTATTATTAATTTCAATGAAAATTTACAGAGACTTTGGATTTCCATTCATTCATTGATGCACGGTTCTCCTCTCCCAACCCTCCCCACTAGTACACTACCCTCTTGGAAAAGTAAAATAAAAATTCTTTCATTGTTTTACAATCCCTCCCCCCAGGTCCACTCCACTATACAGCCTTCATTCTGGACTTCTGTCAAGACAAAAATACTAATAATTTCCCCTCTTAAACAGTTTTCTCCCTCATCTGTTTCAGTGCAGTATACATTATTGAATCCATCTTTCTCAGTCTCCCCTCAACCCCGATGTCAGTCCTGTTTTACAACAGTGGCACCATGCAGTATTTGTCCTTTTGTGACAGAGTTACTTCACTCAGCATAATGTCCTCCAGGGTCACCCGTTTTGAATAATATTGCATGAGTTCCTTGTTTTTTAATGCAGGGTAGTAGTATTCCATTGTGTGAATATACCACAGCTTCTCTATCCGTTCGTTTGTTGATGGGCACTTAGGTTGTTCCTAACTCCTTGCTATTGTGAACAAAGCCGCAATAAACATGGGTATGCATATATCTGCTTGGGTGTCAGTTATGGTCTCTTTTGGGTATATTCCCAGTAGTGGAATTGCTGGGTCAAATACTATCTCTATTTGCAGTTTTTTGAGAAAGCGCCATACCGCCTTCCTCAGTGGTGGCACCATTTTACACTCCCTCTAACAGTGAATAAGGGTTCCAGTTTCTCCACAACCTCGCCAGCATTTGTTGCTTGCTATTCTGTTAAATTTTGCTATTCTGACTGGGATGATATGACATCTTCATTGACTTTTTTAAAATTTCTTTTTCATTCACATTGTGTTTCATTCAATCATTCTCATACACTGTATCTTATAAAATGAATAACCATTGATTTGTGTGCTCACTATTATCCCTTCTTCTCAGATCCCCACTGGATCTTTCCTAATTCCTTTACCCCTTACCTCCATCCATTCAACTGACCCTGTAATTTCCCCCTCTCCACACCTTCGGCCCCTCTGACCTCCCCCTCCCCGTTCTCTCTTTGCATATCCATGCACATCTCACTAGTTAGCCTTCTGTTTCTATCATAATAGTCTTGTGCAGCATTTGTCCTTATGATTTTATGCTGAGGGAACTAAGTCATTGGATTTTTGATGCTAGAAATCTTCTTTGGAGTAGATTGCTTCAGCTTCTCTCTCAGAGAGACTACTGGATTTAAACTTACAACCTTTCTGTCAACAGCCCAACATTAATACACCATACCAAAAGATAACATTGTTGTTAAGTGTTGTTGAGTCCACTACAGCTCATAACAGTCCTATGAAGAACAGTGCCAGTGCCATCCTGACCATCTCTGACATACTCCAGCCCACTATTAGCACCACTGTTGTCAATCCGTTTCATTGAGGTTCTTCCCATCTTTCACTGACCCTTCACCTTTCCAAGCATGATGTCCTTTTCCAAGGACCAGCCCTTCCTAACTACATGCATAGAGTATGTGAGACAGAGCTTTGCTGTCCTTGTCTCCAAGGAGCACGCTGGCTGCACCTTATCCAAGATATATTTGTTTGTCCTTTTTGTAGTCCATGAGATATTCTTCACTCCTCTCAACACCACCACTCAAAGGCATCAATTCTTCTATCATCCTTAATCATTGTCCAGCTTTCAGCTGTATAGCAAGTAATTGAAAAGATGATTTGGTTCACATGCTCCTTAGTCTTCAAACTGACATCATTGCTTTTCAGAACTTTGAAAAGGGCGCTGGCAAGGGGTTTGCTGATGTCTTTTGATTTCCTGGCTGCTAGTGCCAAGGATGTTGATTGTGGATTCAAGCAAGATTAAATCATTGACAGTGTCTATCGCTTCTTCATCTGTCATGATGTTGCCTGTTGACCTGGTGGTGACCTTGATATTGAGGTGTAAACCATATTGAAGACTTTGCAGGCAGCCATTCAAGTCCTCCTCACTTTCAGCAAGCAAGCTTGTATCATCTGTAAAACTGAGGCTGTTGATGTGTCTTCCTCTGACCTTAATGCCACACTCTTCTTTTTTTTTTTTAATAATTTGGGGGGTTTTTTTGTTTGGTTTGGTTTGGTTTTGCTTTGCCTTGTTTTTGTGTGTACTGTCAAAACAGATCTGACTCTTTAGAGGAAGAGATTGCCACTCCTTCTCCAGCAGAGTGTCTAGTGGATTTGAACCACACATATCTGGAATTGCAGTGCAGCTTCTTGC